TCCAAATCTCCAAATTTCCAAATCTCCAAATCTCCAAATCTCCAAATCTCCAAATCTCCAAATCTCCAAATCTCTAAATCTCCAAAGCTCCAAATCTCCAAATCTCCAAATCACCAAATCTCCAAAGCTCCAAATCTTCAGATCTCAAAATCTCCAAATCTCTAAATCTCCAAATCTCCAAATCTCCAAATCTCCAAATCTCCAAATCTCCAAATCTCCAAATCTCTAAATCTCCAAATCACCAAATCTCCACATCTCCAAATCTTCAGATCTCCAAATCTCTGAATCTTGAAATCTTAGTACCCCTAAACCTCCAAATACCCAAATCCCCAAATTCCCAAATCTCCAAATTCTCAATCTTCAAATCCACAAACCCTAAATCTCCAAATCCCCAAATCCCCCGAAACCCCAAATCCCCAAATCCCCAAAAACCCTAAATCCCTAAGTACTCAAATCCCCCAAATCCCCCAAATCCCCCAATTCCCAAACTCCCAAATCTCCAAATCTCTTCCCTCACAAGCAAACTATTCATTCCTTTAACTAAATAAAAATTATAAATAATCTCTAAAACTTGCTTCACCACATTTCACCTCTGATTTCATTAAACCTGAACGTCGACTATCAACTAAAATTCACAAATATAAAAAAAATATATTTTCCCCCTAAAAAATTCGATTTTAATATAAAGACCTAAAATTTTATCTGAACACTCTTGAGACACAACAGTTTAAAAGAAAAATACCGGTGTTGTAGAAAGGTATTTATTTTCAGGATATAAAGTGGCTGAAATTGAAGCTAAATTGGCTGAGGTCGTTTCATGGCCCAGTGTGGTCGTTAAGGGTTAAGAACCCCTGACTTGAAGGATTATATCGTTCCGGCGACTATGCAGTGACAAACGACGAAGAAGATGGAGAGTCGTGGAAAAATATAGATACATCCGTCGACGAATCAACGCGATTTTCACGGTTGGTCTCGTTCCTCGAACACGTAGAGTAGAAGACGTTCCAACTGGCAAGCAGTTGAATTCGCTGTTGGCCGGGGACCAACAATGTCAATGGCATTTCCGCGCAGCCAGCGCTGCGTTCGCAGGGAATTTTCTCCGGTAGACAGAACCGACGCAATGGCCGGTAATTAACGGACAGACGTGTCGTTTCTTAAACAGGTAATTGCCACGCGTGCAAGGGATTATTGTCGACGAACGATTCCCGCTGACGCCGACGTTTTACGCTTGCGACGAACAGTACAACGTCCTTTGATATAAATACAATACATTTGTTGTTTGATGTAAATATACTTTCAACTTTTCAATTTATTGACAAATAAATGGAGTTAATTGGAGTTAATGATAAATTTTGATTAATTTAAAAATTGAAAGATTAAAATAATGGATAAATTTGTGAATTAAAAAACAAATGAATTTAACAATTGACAGATTTATTATAATATTTCAGATATTTGAAATTGTAACAAATTGAAGAATTGACAAATTGACATGTTGAAAACATGAAAACTTGTTGACTTAACAAATTGACATGTTGAAAACATGAAAAGATGTTGACTTGACAAATTAACATGTTGAAAACATCAAAAGTTGTTAAATTGACAAATTGACATATTGAAAACATGAAAACTTGTTGAATTGACAAATTAACATGTTGAAAACATGAGAACTTGTTGAATAACTTGTTGAATTGGAGAACTTGTTGAATTGACAAATTAACATGTTGAAAACATGAGAACTTGTTGAATTGACAAATTAACATGTTGAAAACATGAGAACTTGTTGAATTGACAAATTGACATGTTGGAAACATAAAAACTTGTTCAATTGACAAATTGACATGTTGAAAATATGAAAACTAGTGGAATTGACAAATTTACACATTGAAAACATGAAAACTTGTTGAATTGACAAATTGACATGTTGAAAACATGGAAACTGGAAAAATTGAAGGGTTGAATTAATATTCATGAATGGACAAATTGAATAACTATAAAATTGATGAATTAAGGAAGTGACACATTAACGAATTCAAGAATTGACAAATTAATGAAGAGTCTGATAAATTGACAAAATGAAAAACTGACAAATTGAAATATTGAAAAGCTGATAAATTAAAAAACTGGTGAATTGACAAATTTGCGAATTGACGATTTAGCTAATTGCAGTGTTATTGTATATGTAAATTGAGAAATTAAGAAATCGCAAAATTGGAGAATTGAAGAATTGAAAAATTGAACAATTGAAAAATTGAATAATTGAAAAATTGAAAAATTGAAAAATTGAAAAATTGAAAATTTGAAAATTTGAAAAACTGAAAAACTGAAAATCTGAAGAACTGAAAAACTGGAAAACTGAAAATATGGAAAACTGAAAAATTGAAAAATTGAAAAACTGAAAATCTGAAAAACTGAAAAACTGAAAAACTGAAAAACTGAAAAATTAAAAAATTGAATAATATGGAAATTTTAATTTTATAAAATTTGAAATCTAAAAAACTTAATACTCATAAATTCTAATTTCTTAAAATGTCAGTACTTGTAAACTTATATATTTTATAAATTAGTAACTGTATATTCACAAATTAAAATGAGTCAAACCCTGCATGAGTTTAATTTTTCTCCCTTGTTCCATACCATTTCTCCTTTCTCCATTTATTAATTTTTACGAGTAATCAGAACTGAGTGCCCATAGCCACCCATAGCGTGTATCAAGTTTCCATTTACCAAAGGGTGAATCACCCTTGGTAACAGAAGGATCAAGGGGTGAAACAACCCATCAAAGACTGGAAATTATTGATTTATAAATGATAAGTTTCATTTTGATAAAAGTTAATATCACCGTTCATTACATATTATCTACTCGCTTTTTTTTAGCAATTCTTTTTTGAGCGAATATCTAATTCACTAATACATCATTTTTGTATTATGTAATTGTTCTACCACTTTCATTTTCTCATATTTATTACTAAACCTACAAACGCACGATACACAAATGAAATTAGTTTAAAATTACAAATTTTAAATTACTCCTTGATAATTCAAAACGAAGCTTCAAATCCCATTTTTGCAAAGGAAAATCTTTTTCAGAATGACGTCCACCATCCCCTTTAGGGAGTAACACCAGTTACGAGACATCCTGTATAAATATATTATTCCTTTCATATTTATTAAGGTAGTCCTTGATATTAATACAAATATATTATTCCTTTCATATTTATTAAGGTGGTCCTTCATATCAATACAAATATATTATTCTTTTCACATTTATTGTTTATTCACGTTTATTAATATGATCCATAATAGTCGTACATATATGCATATTCCTTTATATATATTTGAAGATATATTTCTTCATAATTAAGGATAGCCAGTCAAAAAGTATGCGTTGATTTACTTAATACAATTAAGTAAAAAATATTTTATGTATATTTGTATATTTAATTTTCATATTTGATCAATAAATGAATGAATGAGTGTTAAATATTGGTTAATATTGATTATAACATGTGCATGATATAGTAAACCAAGAAATAAACAAATATTAATTATGAAATTAAAGTAATACTATCGGTTTAATATAGAAAATTATGGGAAACTTATAAGCGATTTACCAATCAGTTTAAGTTACGTATTTCGAATTTCGCGCGCTCTAATTACACGTTGTGTAACACTGACAATGGCCGACTCCGACAAGATGTCTTCATATTAACTAAATTATTCTTACATTCACAAGCATTGTACTTTGCTACATTTTCAGGAATAAAAACATTAATAATTTCATGATAACCAACATAATTCCATTATTTTTAACAAAAAAGAATTGAAACTACATCGATTATAAGAATATAATGAAATAAAGGCCTCGTATGATGTAATTTAAGAATCAACTCTAGTGACCGAATTCTCCGAACATTTTTGAGAATTTTTGAAACTTCTGGCGAAAAATTGATAAACGACGATCCTTGTTTATTTTATAATAACACGTCACTCAATAAGTCAACTTATAAGTAAACTTAAGTTGTGTGAGATAGCTGATGCCTTAAAGATATCAGAAGGTAATGTCTTCACAATTTTGCATGAAAATTTGGGCATGTGCAAATTACTTCCAAAGTGGGTGCCGCGTTTGCTGTTTCACGAAGGCAATGCGCCGTGTCACAAGTCGATGAACACGATGGTTCAATTGAATGAATTACGTTTTGAATTGTTTCCCCACACACCGTACTCCCCAGATTTGGACCCCAGCGACTACTGGCGCTTTGCATATATGAAAAAAATGCTCCAGGGAGAGAAATTTGGCTCAAATGAAGAAGTGATTGCGGAAACTGAAGCTTATTTTGGGGGCAAAGACAAATCGTTTAATATAAAGGGAATTGAAAAGTTAGAGGTGCGTTGGAATCAATGTATCACACTGGAAGGAATGTATATTGATGATTAAAGTGAAATTTCCAAAAAAAATTTGTTTTTCTTAGTTAGACCGGAGACTTATTGAGTGACGTGTTATAGTCCTTTATATTCATACAAGTATATATCTTCACATTTATTAGTATAGTCCTTTATATGTATTCATACAGGTATATATCTTCATATTTATTAATATAGTCCTTTATATTCGTACATGTATATATCTTCACATTTATTAATATAGTCCTTTATATTCGTACAAGTATATATCTTCATATAGCCCTTGATATTCATACAAGTATATTCATTATAGTGCACCTTACATTAAAATATAAATTTTCCAAATAACACTATTACATTTATACATTACACCATAACATATAACATAAACTTTGACAGTGTGGACTGTGACACTATTGTGATATTCAAGGTTTAATGTGTGATATTGATACTGTGATATTCAAGGGTTAATTAATTTTCCAAATAACACCACTACATTATACATTACACTATTACATATAACATAATCTTTGACGGGGTGAAACGTGACACTATAATGATATTCAAGGGTTAATAATGAACATTTAAGAACTCACCTCCAGGTGAGATTTCGATGTGGCCAATGTTGTCCATGGATCGTGTACCGTTTGCGTCGCTTGCTTTTGTACCTGGGATCCGGTTTGTCCGGAAGTCCGCATCGCGGAAGTTTCATTAACTTTTTCGTTGCTTCGTCGATTTCACCGGTCACGGGAATGCCACCAAATCTCTAACAAAAAACAAAAATCAAATTTAAAAAAATACTGTAAGAAATCATTAACATTTATCAGCTTTAATTTATTTATAAATTCTTGCATATTTTATTTTCAAATTTTAACTTCAATTTATTTA